AAGGTTGTCACTGACAATAGAGCAGATGTACAATATGAGCGCTAAAAGAATGATGGGAATAATTGTAGTTGTAAATAAGTTTAGCATATCGGTAGCCTTGTGTGAATACTTTCAGCGACAGCTCGCAATGCAAATGAGGTGTGCAAAATTTATGATTGTTCTGAAACTATTGCATTGCGAGTTGTCGCTATTAAAGCTACTAATATGCTAAACTTATTTAAAACTATGATTATTTCCACCATTCTTTTAGCGCTCATATTGTATATTTGACTATTGTCGGTAATTGACAACCTTAATTGAAATAACTGTATACAGCAGCAAAATAGCCTTTCATACCATTCTTTGGGTCATTAGGCAAATTTTCATCAGATTTTCCGGCATCAGGTTTTACTGAGCTGGCACCTTCGAATGTAAAATAATTTTGAAAAGACACAAATTCAGAATTCTGTCAAAGTTTCATGTTTTATAATGTTTTTAAGAATGCTTATAATTATGGACCATTGATATTATTTGCCTTGTATTTTGGTACAATATTATACGTAATTCATACCATCATCTGAATCATTTTTTGTTTTCCCATTAGGTTTTTTAGTATCAGCTAGTTTTTCACCATCAGGTTTTTCACCATCAGGTCTTTCACCATCAGGTTTTTCAGCATCAAGCTTTTCAGCATTAAGCTTTTCACCATCAGGTTTCCCAGCAACAGGGTTTTCATCATCAGGTTTTTCAGCATCAGGTTTCCCAGCAACTGGTTTTTCAGAGTTGCCCCGTTCTTCCGAATCTTCGGAATTGTCTGGTTTCACATATTTCAAATTTGGATCAGTTTCTTCAACGAGCTGTGTCTCAGTTACTTTTGTTTCGTCAGCTTTAGTAGATGTTGGTTCTTTTTTCCCATTCTGTTGATCTTCGTCCTCTGTGATCTCCATGTTATTTATCATTAACATAAACGCTTAATCTGATGTCACACAAGGTTGCACAGGATTGGCAGAGAACTAAATGTAAGATGTGTAGATTTGCACTATCTTTCTAACAATTAATCGCCGAAAGCGAGGTGATCATCATTGAATAAAAACCGAGACGAAGTCGAGGTTCTTATTCACGATAATCACTGAGGTGAACAATTGTTTTAGTATAATTCATAGGTGCATATTTGAAAAAAAACACAACAAAATAACCTTTTATCATCACTTAGTTTGACAAAAACGACTTTTCGCAATTGTAAAAAACATTTCTGGTGATTATCGCGTTATAATCACATGAATGGAAACCAACCAGGGTGGAGAATTTTCAATAATCACCTATGTAATTATACTAAATATAAATGATGATAATGAATGATAATAGCGTTCCATATAATTCAAGTAACTATAGTTCAAACAAGTATACAGTGTTAATATCTCAAAATTAATATCCATATTGCGTAATTTTTGCAATAAGTGAAACGGATATTCTTTGTAAGAATGCACAGGATGTATAAAAAACTGAACAGATTTAATAATTGCTCCCAATTTCGATTATAAGCAATTTTCTGCACTAGACGGTGTTGTGCAGTTGAATTTTCCGTTGTGGTTTTTGAAACTTTAAAATATTTAATTTCGACTAGACCGCTTTTCGCACTAGTATTGAAACTGACCATTACCCAATACTATAGTTCAAACAGTGTTAATAATATCTCAAAATTAATATCCATATTGCGTAATTTTTGCAATAAGTGAAACGGATATTCCTTGTAAGAATACACAGGATGTATGAAAAAAAACTGAACAGATTTGAAATCGTTCCCAATTTTGCAACTGAAAGAGCTCCAGGCATGACGATATATATATATATATATATATATATATATATATATATATATATATATATATATATATATATATATATATATATATATATATATATATATATATATATATATATATATATATATATATATATATATATATATATATATATATATATATATATATATATATATATATATATATATATCCATAATATTCGTTGATTCAAACAAAAGTATGAACGCACTGAGTAGTTTGAAGAGTGCTCAACACCAATATTAGTACAGCTTTATAATTGTTGTCTTTTCTACTTAATATAGATGTTGAACATACATCGTCGCCTGAAGATCGTGAAAACGTGAAACTCAGAGTTGCGACTTAATTAATTTTAAGTAGAAAAGACAACAATTATATATATATATATATATATATAT